TCAGAAACGGTTTGAAATTTGGAACGTCCTTTGACAATTTTGTCGTAATAGAGGTTAGCATTCCCCTGTTTTCGCCGGCCGTGTGGTCGTAATTATAGATGCACCTCGCTATCTTTGTAGCTGGTTTAGATATTACGTCTTTCTGGTACCATTCAGAAACATATTGTCATCTCTGCGTATCCATGGGTTCTGCTGTGGGCCAGCTCCCATTTTTTTTAGTGCGCTTACTTCAAGTTTCATCCGGGAGATAATTTTGAGAATTGTGGAGTGTTATGAAGATGGCTGTGTTCTGAGTTCTTGTGCCTTGTAATATGATAGAAATTTACGTGCCCGAGGTACTTGCTGTCACCACGATCAAGGTTATGGTCGTTCTGGTGATAAAGGCAGCAAGCACCTCCGAAACGTCGGTAAAACTTCTACCAGACTACACTGCGCTGCTACCCAGGAGATGGTCATCTTCATTATTACACCGTGAGAACCTCAAACAATATGTCTTATGACTACCATTCACCTGAAGACGGGAGTAAATCTAGGTGACGAAACGCCCTGTTTGTCAAATATACATCAGGGAATCGAAAATGCGTGAGATAAGATTCTTATAACGATGTTTATTTTTATAAATTATTTTATAAGATGGAGGTGACAAGTGTCGTGATTATCAATTTGTGCAGTGTCAAGCGAGAGGTGTTGATAGCTGTCTTTTGACCGACGCACTGTACTTCACTATCGTTCAGTTGGGTCTGAGCCAGCTTCTCCCCCTCCCTCTATCCCCTCCGCCCCTTCTTTCTCGCTAAAAGTTGCAGACTTGCAGGAAACTGTCAGGGAGTGTAACTTGTCCTAATAGTGGGGGAAAAAAAGTTTGGACCGTACTAACTAAATGGACCCCGGGCATTATTACACGAGGTTTTCTTACCTTGTTATATAATGTTTTGTTCAGAAGTAGATCAATTAGAATCAACGCTTCGGTTTCGTTGGAAGGAAAACTTCTCCTGCTTATTCTAAAGTTTTTATCATGCCCCATTACTCTTCAATTATCTCTCCAAAATAAACACACGCGGTGCCGAAATCCAGCCTAATGAGCTGGCGCAGGTCCCTGAACACTTGCATTGTATGTGTAATCGGTTTTTTATTACGCCGTCTCCTTTACAGGAGGTAGGCGACATATTATGAACAGGATCCTTCCATCCTTTTCTCGGACTGGGACCTGTTCATATGTTTTTTTAGGCAGATGATCCAGAAGTGGTTTGTCATTGCCTTCTTCTGTGTGTGAATGGAGTAATTGTTGGGATGCCACCGAGAAACCGGGGAAGCCCCCGGAGGAAAACTCCGTGTTGCTTATACCACGGCCTTGCCCAACACAAGTTATAAATTCGGGCAC